ATTTTTTTTTATTATTTTATTTTTTTTTCCCTCTTCAATCACTCAGCATTTGCCTGCTTAGGAACATGGAATTTTTAAGTCATTGAGGACTTTTCCTGCAATTGTAGGTAGGCTAGTACATACTACCTTAGAGAAATGTTTTTCTCTCTATTTGTAAAGTTTTTAAATTTGTTAACACAGTATATATATCCTTGATTTTGTGTTAAAAATTAAGAATAAAGACCAAGATGTTGAGAAACATCTCCTGCCATAGGAAATAGTGATACCTGCATGGGAGTCACTCCTAAAAAAACCATCAACTTCAGAATCTGTTTCCAAAAACAGGAGACATTTTATATATTTTCTGATACATTGTTGGGTGAAGGTGCAAAATCTCCTCCACTGTGCGGTCAGAGTTGCACAGCCACATTTGCACAAGAGGTGAATCCATTCTTGCTTTGAATTTACAGAAATAATGTAATTTTTGTGCCTTAGAAACAGTAGTTCTTAGAAACTCTCTCCTGCTCCTCAGTGTTTCAGTCCTGTGCAAAAATCACAAGGGCTATACTTCAACTTTTGCCAAAATAAACATATTTTGTCTCTTTAGGAAGCACTTGGTCGGAAACTTGAGTTATCATATGTGCTTGTGTAAAGAATGCTGTGTATCACTAAATAAAAATAACATGGTTTAAAATGTAATTCCTTATTATCTTCAGAATAGTTTTCTGGAACTTGATGACACTGGAAAAAGACAATTTACAGAAAATAAGTGAATGGTTTTACACACCCTAGTATAAAAATTAGTGGTTTAAAGTCAATTAATCAAATAAAAAATGTTGTGCTTCATGCAAAATTTGTCAACAAAATGAACAAAACCCTTGATTTGATTTTAATGTGGTAGCTTAGGCTTTCCTCCTTTACTTTCACCACTTTATGCAGAAGTGGGAGGTAGAGAAGGAAGCAGAGGAGTGTTAAAGATGCAAAACAGAAAGCGACAAATATCGTTTGATTTGAAGTGATCATTTCCATTACTGTGGAAAAAACAACCCAAGAATGTGATGATAACCATTTTAAAGAGTCCCTTTCATTTACTCATGTGCTGAGCCTCGGGTTGCCTATCAACAAAAGAATGGATAGTTACTATGGGCCATTTCCTAAATGTGGGAGAGAGCATTTCCATGCCAATCTGCTGCCTCAACTTTTCCTAAAAACTGCCTTTCCCCAAGACTTCCTATTGATGCTGATGACAGAGCATCTCTGTTAGTCCTAGGGAACAGCCCAGCTGTGGCACTGCACAGACCCCAGAGCAGAGGATTGAGCCCAGTGACCAGCCCATGAACCTTCAGATGTCACCAGTGAGTCGGTGTGGGAGGGAGTGTCACTTCCTTCCTTGTATCTCCTGGTGCCCCCTGTCCCCTTGACTTGTGGTCATACTGAGATATAATTATACTGGAGGTGTGGCTATCAAATGTGATCCTATATTTTCCAGGTCTCAGTGCTTCATAGGCTCTTTCTCAGGGTTCACTAATTAATCTTCCTTGCCCTGAATGTCCTGGATTATCTCTGCGTTGCAGTCAGTGGGTCTGAAGCTCAAGGTTAAATGTCTTGCTCTCAGCCCAGAGCAGAGATAGTAGCTGTCAAGAAACTTCTTAATGAGAAAGTTCATCTCCTGTTTTTCACGGTTTAACTGTGGCCCTTACATTTAGAGGAACACAATTTTTGGCAGCCTGGCCTAAAAAACCAGGAACAGCCCAGGGGTGGGGAACATCCTTGCTCTGATGGACCTTTGCTGTTTGGTGTTGCTCAACCATCTTGCCAGAGTTTTTTTTTTTTGGGAATAAATTAGACATCCTGACAACACAAATTTCTAATGGTGTGTGAAGGTTTTCAACCCTTGCTTTCCATTTAGTATGAGGTCCTCAGGAAGTGGCCTCAAGTTGCACCAGGGGAGGTTTAGGTTGGGTATTAGGAAAAATTTCTTCATGGAAAGGGGTGGTGGTGGTGGTGGTGGTGAAGTCACCATCCCAGCAGGTGTTGTAAAGGTATGTGGATGGGGCGCTGGAGGACGTGGTTTCGTGGTGAACATGGTGGTGCTGGGTTTCGGGCTGGACTCGATGATCTTAGAAGTCTTTTCCAACCTTACTGATTCTGTAATTCCCTGCTTAACCAGTTGTTATTGTAGGTGAGATATGTTAAGGACACGAGTGAGGCAAGTTTGATGGAAGATTTGTTGTAACATACCAATAGCTGGAGAAAAGCAGGGAAGATACAGGTCAATGACTCTCAGCAAGACTTTGAGATACTGGAAGTGAAAGACCTTCCACTGGGCTTAGCCTAGAGGCTGATTCTCAGATAGCCAAAATAGACAATGGGACTATTACAGTTGGTGAATTTTAAATATCAAAAAGTGCTCTTTCTTCAGAAGCTGTCAGACTGTTAGGTTGCTTCATAACATTTGTTCAAAACTATGTTTAAAACCCTTGTCATGTAAATTGTCTGCTGAAGAGCTCTTACACCACTCCCCACAGATAAGGCTTAGACTTGTACTATAGTAGTTGCTCTTATCATCATTCAGCATATGTGCTTCTTGTGGGTATATCTGGAACCAGAATAGAAATTGTAAGAAATTCCTGGTGTTATTTGCTTCATGCCTGGACTAACATCTAAAAAGTAGCACAATACCAAAAGCATATGCTAGTACCATAAAGGAAATAACTCTCAAGACATCAGTATGAAAAATAAATGTGTGAAAATACAGTCAAAGAATGGAGAAAAACTTCATTTGGCATGCTGGATCTTAGTGAATGTCATATTGCTTTTACCTCATCTGTGTGTGGCAAACCCACATTCAGCAGCATCTCAGCCTTTCCAGGGACATGAACAACTAAGTGACCCAAGCACTCCTTGGTGCCTGTGCTAAGAAAAAGGAACATCCAAGGTAGCATTTCATCTCACCTGCTATTTGTTCTACTCCACGTTGGTAGGGAAGCAGAATCTTTTGAAATCCCCTATAGAAGTTTAAAAGCTGTGCCTGGATACCCTGCAGTAACTGAGCTGGGTGCTTGGTGCTCCAGGGAGGCACTTCAGGTTGAAGAAGATCCCTTCCAGTTCCTGCTGCTACCATGCTCAAACACCGTAGCTGGATATCCAGAGCACAAAAGCTGGATCTTTGGGGAGGCAACTCTCTCAGAAATCTCTAATAGTAAAGAAATTCCTTGTTAAAAATTCATTGGCCCAGAGGGAGGAGGAGGAAAGGGGAAATGTGTGCGTGGAAGGAGTTTTAACACCCATCTCTTTGGTTTTAAGCAAAAAATAAGTCTTTGAAAATAAACCAGAAAACACCTGAAAGTTTTCCCAAAATTTTGTATACTCCTGTAAGAGCGTTAAGGTTTCATAGAATAGTGTTTTCTGAGGAAAACATAGTTTTCTTAGGAAATTTCAGCACAGCTTTGGTTTGAATTACACTTTCTACAAATGACAGAATCACAGAATGGTTTGGGTTGGAAAGGACCTTAAAGATCATGTTGTTCCAACCCCCCTGCCATAGGCATGGCCACCTTCTGCTAGATCAGGTTGCTCTAAGCTCCATTCAACCTGGCCTTGAACACTTCCAGGAATGGGGCATCCACAGCTTCTCTGGGGAAACCTGTTCCAGGGCCTCATCACCCTCACAGTCCAGAATATTTTCCTATTATCTAATATAACCCTGCCCTCTGTCAGTGTGAAGCCATTCCCCCTTGTCCTGTCACTCCATGCCCTTGTAAAAAGTCCCTCTCCAGATTTTTTGGAGCCCTGCATTGTGGCACATAGACTTGATGGTGAAACTGAGCTTCAGGCAGGTAGAAAATCAAGCCTACCAAAATTAGTCATGGATATCCTGGAAACCTTAGTATGATGCTAGCAGTTGCTTTAATATGATAGTAATCTGACCAACAGAGACAGGATGAAACAACAGAGGGGAAGAAACCACTCCCAAACTGTTTCTATGTATAGTGATTATTTATTCAGCCAATATTAACTAAGAAATTCTGTGCAAGCAAGTGTTAAAATCAGGCCATGGTAGGCCTAGAAATTTAATATCTAAAGGAAGAAGAAATCCTTTATACAGGCAGCAAAATGAAAAAGTGAAGCAGATCAATGTCTGGGCATGGCTCACCCTCCTGTGTCTTGAACCAGAATTGCAGTCCTAAGGAGAAAATGATTTTTACTGGTCTAAAATAGGAAGGGAAGGTGGCAAGTGGGATCTGCCCTGCTCAGGGCTGGTATATGTGACTGGAGAGCTATGGGAGACCAGCAGACAATCCTGAGGAGCAGTTGGAGGGCCTGTGAGGCACCCTAGTGCATCCTGAATGGCACCAGGATGTATCCTTTTGGAAAAGTGTAAGGAAGAAGATTAGTAGGGAGGAGCCATTTATGACCTGCACAAACAGATTTATCAGAAAGCTTGTGTCTAGGTCACAAAGTTGTCAGATTCAGTGTGGGCCTCCTATTTTGCCTGTACAAAAATTACATCCCTCTTTGCTCAAAATATCCATCAAGAATTTTCCAGATTGAAAAAAACCACCTTGATTTATAAATAACTTCGATTAAAAGCTCTGTTTGTGAACCAGTGGTAAATCATGTGTTTGTTTAGCAGGAATACTTTCCACTGACAATCAACAAAAAGGTAACAGAAGAAAGTTTAGTGGTATTTAACATATTATGCAACCCTCCCCTAAAGTGTTTTAAAAGTGTTTTTCCCATTAAAAAGAAATTAATCAGTGGCATATCCACTCCAAGGAAAGCCACAAATAACACATCAGTAGCTTAAGCATAATTTTTACAAAGCCTAAAATAGCATCAGAACTTATTTTTGGGTACTAGTCTGATTTAGGACCAAACTAATGGTCAGATTCCAGATAAAATTGTTATCTATAGGTTCAATCTGAGCAGATGCACTGAGAGTGAATAATACACTTTACAGTGAGTTCTATGCTTTTTTTATGAGTCTCACAGCAGCTGTAATGAAATCCACCAGGAGTTTATATGATTTGAGTGGTGCATTTGCAGGTTGCAGGACACTTCTGCTTCACCAGCGAGTGGCCACAGCCAAACAAAGTTTTCAGGTTCTTGCAGTTTCCAAGGAGGTCTTGATGCTTGCAAGGATTGGCTAAAATAAAAGAGAGGGAAACAAACATGTGAAATGTTAATTGAACACCACATTTTGAATTCATATTTCTGCCTTTTCCATAAGATTCGAGTTTTTCTTGTCTGTATAATCTTTGCACTTTTGCTCTGCTGTTAAAATTGCTTGAATATTATAGGAAGGCAATGCAGGTGGAAAGGTGGGTATCGACCGCCTGGTTGAGATTGGAAGGGACCTCTGGAGGTCATCTGGTCCAAACCCCACCCTGCTCAGGGTTGTGCCTGCTCTGGTGGGATATTTAAGCACTGTTATTGCAGGGGTGGGTAATGAAAGGGGCAGCTCCAGGATCTTTCATCCAGATTAGCAAGAAATAACTGTGCAAAAGTAAAATGCTACACAGGATCAACATCACTATCTGAGGTAATGCAGTGTTTGTTTTCAGGAGGAGAATGGAGTCACTTACTGCAAAGCCCTTTGTCACAGTGGCCCGGACAGTCTGCACATTTTGGTCCACTTCTGTAAGGTGTTGCTATTTGCATTGCGTTATTTCCTCTGAAATTTGAAAGAAATACAAGACACGACAAAATTAACATGAAGCTCTGGGCAATTAACAGGAATTATCACAGTGAAAGGCATCCAGAAGTTTTGGGATAAAAGTATTTTCATGGGCAGTCATGTTTTAGTTTCAGATATTCATAGAATACAATACATTTGATTTTAAATAAGTGAGACAATAAGTTTTAAAGAAACAAAACTACTTGATTATTTGTATAGCATTATCCTTTAAAAAGTTATGTGCTTTCTAGCTCTGTTTTTCTAATAGTTTGCAAGTGATTGAGGCTTAAAAGGCAATCACAGAGTCATAGAATCATAGAATTATTTGGGTTGGGAGAGACCTTAAAGATCACCTTGTTCCAACTCCCTGACAGGGACACCTTCCACTAGACCAGATTGCTCAATAACCTCAGCAGACCCTTTCTGACACCAGCTGATTGAGATGGGCTATTTACCTCTGAATATTGATTTGCTGTTGGCTTTCCCTTTGCATCTGATTTTCTGCTTTGTGGTCCAAGTTATAGCATGGTTTATGCCTGATTCTGCCAGAGATACACCTTTGCTCATCTGCTGAAATTTCCCTAACAACTGTTTCAATGTGAAATAATATAAATATTGCTGTTCAACCTGCTGTTAAGACCACAATTCACATTAGTATTTTTAAAATTATAAAAGGTCAAAGTAGACTGCACTCATTTTATCCTACACACAGCCAGTGGGGCACAGGGGGTTTTGGAAACATATCCATAATCCATAATTATCCATGTCCATAATGAGTAAGCAGGCAGTACGTACGCAGGGCAGTATTGGCAAACGTAAAAGTACTTGTAGGAGCTCGTAGGACAGTAGGAGACTGCACATCCCACCTGGTAACTGTTGTACCAGATCAGCTGTGGAATAAAAAATAAGCATATTATTTCAGTCATCTTTACTGAATTTTGAACAAAAAGCTCACAAAATAACTGAAGGTATTTTTTCTTTTTTTATTTTCTATTCAGCTTTTAAGTTTACAGTGTAGTAGCCAGAAAGAATACATAGAAAAATGAGTTTATCATCTCCTCCAAATGTTTTTGAACACATTTTCTAGAAGGAGACTTAACTTTATGGTCAAATACTTTTATTGTAGATATTTTGCTTTGACATTTCTTATTTGGGAATTTCATCCATATATAGAAAATATTTATTTCTAAATTAAAATTATTAATTTAAAGGTGTTTCTAAATTAAAGGTATTTCTAAATAAAAGGTATTTCTACTGGATAGTGTTTCTCTTATGGACAACTCTTAAAAAATACTGGTTCCATTTCCTCATAATTAAATGGAAAAGAATTGTGATTTATCATTCATCTTTGGATCAGAATGTAAATAATAGACAGTAGCTTGATGACACTGATAATTTTTTTCAATAATTATAAATAACTCCCAGCTGCCTTAAGTGTACTGCTGTAACTTTAGTGTATCACTGCACTGTGTTTCAGTTTTCCTTACCTGAGTGTAGCTCTCGATGTTGACATTTTTGGAGGTTGCTCCATATCCATATTTGAAATTAGAGGACTGACTGTACCATGTTTGGATTGTTTCTGGCCATGTTCTTGGGTAAGATGACAGTAGCACATTCTCGCCACAGGTGACACCTGCAGTAGAAGTAAGTCTGTTTTATTCCTTAGGAGACAAGCAAGCTGTGGGGTGGGAAGTGGGACAGAGGAGTTGGAGTTTTAGTGTAAAAAAAAAAAAAAAGTCTAGGATGACAATCTCTTTGCCTTGTGATTTTAAGAAGAGGACAGTACACCTCATCCTCTGAAAGCTGCAGGAAATGTAACTTTGATTTCGATGAGCTTTCACACACGAATACTTAGACAAACAACAAAACATGACACAAAAAAGTCTGTGCTTAGTCACACCAGCAGTCATTCTGTGGCATTGTCTTGTTTCCAGCAGGAGACAAAAGCGGACACTTGAAAGGTACAAATATAGGGCAAGTACACTCTCTCTCTCCAGTTCGAACAAATTGTCTTTCAGGGTGTTTATCTGACAAAGATGATGGTTTTGTGTTTAATAATCATAGAATCATAGAATGGTTTGGGTTGTAAGGGACCTAAAGATCATCTAGTTCCAATCTCCCTGCCATGTGTAGGGATGCCTTCTACTAGACCAGGTCCTAAAAAGCTATTCTAATAATAATAGCTATTCTAATAATTCTAAAGCTCTTCTACAACAGATTAAAAGTTATCCTTATTTCCATTTCACATTCCCAGGGGTCATCTGCAAACATTAACCCGTCAGCTCAGGTTCCATCCTTGTCAGTACCATTAAGGGTTCTCTGCTCCCTTGGACTGATTCTCATCTGACACTTATTTGCCCACTTCTGAGCATTTTTGGCAGCTTTATCACTCCACACCTGAAAGACACAAAGGAAGAAGTATCCAGGTCACAAATAGGTTAGTGCTGTCCATGAGAAATAAAAAAAAATGAGGAATGGCTTGGGTGTACTCTGAATGTTCCCACAGTCCTCAACAGAAAGAGAAGGAGTCATGCCACTTTACACTCCTGGGGCACAGGAACCACATTTTTTCTACTCTTGAAGATTCCAGAGCAAGTATCTCTGCAGTTATATCAGACAGTCCTGATTTCCAGATGCTCCTGATTAATAGGATTTTTATAACATACTGTTGCTTTCTGTCAGACTTGTGTCTGAGTGAATATTGCAGGCTTCAGTGCACTGAACAGTATAGAACTGATTTTCAGTCCAGGTGCAGCTGAGATGGAGTGAAAAGCACCATCTGGACTTAGAACCTGGGGAATGTTTGCAAATCTCGCTGTGCAGGCTTAACTACAAAGCACCAACCAGCTCATCTGTTCATGGGATGAGGATAACAAGAAATATCAGGAGTGAAAGGGATTGGAGAAATGATGGGCAAAGCAAACTCAGGTGAGGACAAAAGATTATGCAGATTAAGGTCTTTTGTCTCCCCCCTGATAGCGTGTGATTCAGAAGCTGCTGCTTGGATTCCTGCTCCTCCTTTGCTTCACATACTCTTTGCGTCATCCAGGGCATGTGCTTTGCTTTTTAGAATTACAGAATCATAGATAGTTTGGGTTGGAATGGATCTTGAAGGGTCATCTAGTCCAACCCCTCTGCAATGAGCAGGGACACCTTCAGCTAGACCAGGCTGCTCAGAGCTCCATCCAACCTGTCCTTGAACGCTTCCAGGGATGGAGCAGCCACAACTTCTCTTGGCAATCTCTGCCAGTGTTTCACCACCCTTATAAAAATCTTTTTCCTACATCTAATGCAAATCAACCCTCTTTTAATTGAACACCTTTAACCCTTGTGCTATTGCAAGAGGGCCTGATAAAATATTTTTCCTCATCTTTCTTATAGACAACCTTTAGGTACTGGAAGGGGCTCTAAGGTCTCCCCAGAGCATTCTCTTCTCCAGGCTGAACAGCCTGAGTTCTCTCAGTCTGTCTGCATAGCAGAGGTGCTCCAGCCCTCTGACAGATTTTGCTGTCTCCCCTGGACTCACTCCAGCAGTTCTATGTCCTTCTGATGTTGGGGACCCCAGAGCTGGAGGCAGGTCTGCAGGTGGGGTCTCACCTGTGGGGGTAGAGAGGCAGAATCCTCTCCCTTTCCCTTCTGCCCACACTGCTAGGGAGGAGCCCAGGACACAATTTGCTTTCTGGGCTGCACATGGGTGTTTCTGGCTCATGTTGAGTTTCCCATCCAGCAGCACCCCCAAGTCCTTTTCAGGGCTGCTCTCAATCCCTTCATCCCTCACCCTGCTTTGATACTGGGGTTTCTCTATCCTCTCTTTTAAGGGAAAAGCAGGCAAGTTGTAACGCATAGCTTACCATCTTCAACATGTTCCTGGCCGTGGGAAATACAGATCTACGTATTTCATTGTGCTGATCAAGGATCTCTTTTTGGTTTTTAGGCTTAGAATGAGGAAAGGAGAAAATTTGCGCTCCTTTATACGGAAAATTCTGGAAAACAATAACAAGGTCCCAGTTAACAGAAGCCTAATAAACAAGACAAATTATGAACTTCTCAGTACAAAGTTTCCTGGAAATTCTCAACATTCTTTTATTTGTTCTATTATTATAATATTTTTTTTTCTTCCCTCCTTGATTTGAACTGCACTTTTCAATCGGAGATGTGACCTTGAATGAGATTTGTGGATAGGAATTCTGCCTTCAGATTTCTCCACATCAAACATGGAGAAAGCTCAGCTCTGGAACCAAATCTCAAGGCTGTCTTAGACCTCTTGTGTGCACTGAAAAAAGCCTCTGGCTCTTGTGTGTTGTGAGCTTTGGAAGTATGTGAAGCTGCATTAGAAGTCAGGACTGTTTGCAGACCTTCTGAAGGTCAAGAGAGCAATGAATGACTTGGGTTGTCTCCTAAACAACGTTGTCAGGGCATCAATCCTTGCACAGAAAAGGTGCTGCAATCCTTAAAATGCAGTTTTCAGA